TATATGGCTCGAGGCCGTAGCAAGTGCAAATGCAAAAGGTGTCATAAAATCTCTAAGCAAATTAACTCAAGTATTCGGTTATTCGGGGATTATTTCGGGGATTATTGCACAAAACATAATATTAAGCATGTGCTAAACGCGGTAGCATCGCCCCGAGCGAATGGGCAAGTTGAGCGGTTGAACTGCACGATTTTGAGTTCTCTCACTGCTTATATGGGTAATGAACAAAAGAGATGGGATGCGTATCTTCCTAAAGTACAGTTGGGCATTAATTCAACAATTAGCAAAGGAACTGGAAAATCGCCTCTGGAATTATTGTGTGGTCTGAGGCCGCGCATGGCGGCTGATCTTGTTGGTTCAATGTACACGACCAACCTAAATGAGTTGAGGGCCGAAACAGCGGAAAGTGTTAAAGCAAATGCTTCTCGGATGAAGGAGCGGTATGATAAAAGTCATAGATTACCAGAGCCGATCAAGATTGGATCCTTGGTAATGGCAGAAAGAAAAATAATTACACCAGGATTAGGGAGTGGTAAGCTGGTACCACGATACTCAGGACCTTATAAGATTACAGCCGTACTGCCTAATGATCGCTTTGAGGTTACGTCAGCTGAGAGGGGCAAAAGAGCATATAAGAACATAATAGCTCGTGATAAACTGAAGTTGTGGCATGCTAGATGCGAAAGCTCATCCGAAGAGGAATAAAAAAATAGCAAAATAAATATATATATATATATTTATTTTGCTATTTTTATATATATAAAAGAATAATAATAGAAAAATAATAATAATACAATTTTCATACAACGTAATAATAAATTCCAATGGATGCCGTAGTGGGCGAGATCCATGTTGGGCCGTAATGGGCAAGGTTCATGAGGGCCGTAATGGGCGAGATTAATTGATGCCGTAATGGGCGAGATCCATGTTGGGCCGTAATGGGCAAGGTTCATGAGGGCCGTAATGGGCGAGTTCATGGATGCCGTAATGGGCGAGGTTCATGTATGCTGTAATGGGCGAGGTTCTATGAGTACCTACGGGGTACACGTAGTATCTCAATCAACTTGAGGTGGGTGCGTTATGACAATACAAGCACTATACGAAAGCAGACGGTGTGCTATGTTACACTTAAGGAAGGTCGTGTCCTTCGGGGACCGAAGGTATGAAGGATGGCCGAGCTGTTAGACTACGATACTCTTTATCGATTGTATTAGTGGAAGCACTATCTGTCAGTGGGTTGTCACTGTCACCTTTGAAGTTGACATTGACAAATGAAGAGATAATTTCGGGCGGGAATAGAGTACAAATGTTGTTGTGAAAAGTTTATGTTAAAGAAAACAGTTTTATAAAATATATGATCATTCAGTCAAAGTTGTGTTTTAATAATATATAGTACATTGTGGCACTACGCACCACTTGTGGCTCATTATTTAAAGAAAACCAGAGCAGAGGAAAGTAAAAAATGTAAAAAATACGCACTACAACTTCGATTTCTCGTCTAAATTATTATTTCAATTTACTTTAAAGACAGTTGTTACTTTCGATTTGACATATTTACTGGCCTGTGACGTCACGATCAGCGTCATTACATAGAGCAGCATTTTTCGCGCGCTTTTGACTATTTTAAATTTTAACAATTATTTTCACAAAAATAGAAAAGATTCCAATGAAATATTATGACAGTGTGTTTATAATGTAGCAAACAACGATTTAAAATAGTTTTCAGAAAAGTGTCAAATACCCTATTCTAGCAGAAAGATATGATTTTAATAGATTTAGTGAATTTTTCGTCCCACCAAAATGCTCTAATTTTCCCCAACAGTGTTACATGACTAACAGGAGGTCTCTTATGTGCAAGAAATCGAAAGTGTTAGCTATTTCTTTCAGCACTCAGTTGTTTTATGTGTAACTGTGAGTATATTGAGTATTGTGTTGTATGTGGCTAGGTGAAAATGCCATCGCATCTGTTTACATCGCGACATCGCGTTGTTTCTCACTTCACCGTGCTCAGGGTACCGTAAAGGGATAATCAACGGCCCTACAAAATTCGCCTAGTGCAAGTGCTCGATGACGCCATTCACTGCGTGGCTTATTGCACGTGGTTGTTCTAGTACTAGTACTAGAATCGATACCATGAGGTGTCGATACTTTTGCGGATCCCTAACCGCTCTGTGAATGACGTTCATAGACATAAAAGAAGAGGACCGGCCATACCTACGAAAAAAGCGTATATGCCTAAACTTCAAATGCAAATTCTTCGATGGCGGATTGTCATAGGGCGTGACCCAAGATATCGATATTTGTATCGACATTGAAGTCATATTAAATAAAAGTCAGTATTTCGTGAAACTGCTACAATACTACTACTTATTAAATAATATAATATAATTTTCATTGTTAGGGGCATGGCTAAACTATTACCTATTACACTTCTATTCATTTCACACTTACGTACCAATCCTATTTATGATTATTATTAATTAAATTGAAAAATTCACGCCAGTATCAAGAAAATAATATTTTTTTAAAAGTGGCGTGAATTTATCAATTATTTATAAATCATTAAGCAATCTTTTGCTCGTATTTTGTTGGACATCTAAAATTTCTTGCGTTCTTTGTTCTTGCGACTCCGTTGCGTCACTATAGTAAATATAACATATGTTACCAGCGTATGATGGCGCTTCCCACGGGTAAAAGATTATTCGTATTCCAAGTTTCATCAAAATCCGTTCAGTAGTTTTTACATGAGAGTAACCAACATCCATCCTCACAAACTTTCACATTTATATTATTTAATAATATGATTGTACCTCGATAAATATGTTTCTTTTCCTCTAATATAGCCAAATTTTACATAGTTTTAAGAACTATAATACCAAAATATATATCTTAAAAGTTTTACAATAATATCAATCGTGTTTTATAATTATTTCCATATATATTGTCATGTTGACATTTTGCAATTATAATTAAATAGTTTTTTTAACATAAGTTTAATTTTGCATCCACGGGAAGTGTGACTACTGTCCATGATAACTACCACGGTAACTATAATAAGCTTTTAATGAGTCGATTGACGAATGAATTATTATGCTTTTTTTTGTCTGTTATATATTTTTTATTGTTTTGGTGGAAAGTGACATTTTGGTCCAATGAAGTCATTTTTTATTTTTCAGTATGAAATTAAACAGGGTGCAAAAGCAGCCCTTGCAGTTTCTTACCGGTTCCTTTCTTACAGTTTCTTCTTTTCTCGGTACAAGGTTTCCCGTAATAGATTGCTGAACTATAAGCACAGAGTTTCGACTTTCTTATATGCTTGTAACTAGTAAGCCAACTTGTCTATAAATTTATTCAATAAATTGTTTTGACTGAATAAATTTCGCTTCCTCCTCATTAAGTGAGATACCGTGCGTACTGTGTCACAATTTTAGTTCAGAACATCTTGTTTAGTAGTAAACATAGAAAACTTGAAACACCTACAAAATCTTTGTATTATATTATTGGTAAAAGAACATAAAAATACTGTAAACTTTGATGAATAAACAAGAGAAAATAAAGAAAACAAAGTTGGTGATGAATAAGTAACAATTGGCATAACAGTAACATTATTAAAGAAGTAACAATTGGCATTTTATTTAAAAATTTGGTTAGCAAGAAGAAAACAGCCGATTAATCAATAGGCAAGCATACAAATATTTTCTCAGCACTAAAACAGTCTGCAGTTCATGTTCTGTGAACAATCAAGATAACGGTCAGCAATTTAAATTCAAAAAGGTAGCGTATTTTATGATGCATCAGCAAAATAAACATCCACGCCGCAAAATAATTATTTGGGTATTAAGATTATACTATTGAACAGCAAAGCAAACCTTTAACTATGCCTTTAATTTGATAAGTGTGCATATTTTAATTTTTATTAAAATTATTTAACTCATTTTATTGTATATTTTACTGGGAGTATATTATGATTAGAATTTTATATTTTAATATTATTATATATTGCATTCTGATTTTTTTCAATTAAAATAGTCATCATATGACCGCAAGACTAAAAATAAGGTACATTTATAGAATAACAAAATGACTATATATAAAAACTAAATAGACTTTTTTTTTAAATAAGTTAAAAGCAATTGTCAAAAATTCTTACCAGAGTATTTGATTGGCAATGCATCATCTCGTAATTTTATTATATTTAAAGTTCGATTCAAACAACTTTCCCTAAAATGAAGTGAGCAGATAAAAGCTTTTCATTACATTTAATATTTTCTGCTTCTATGTAACTCGGCCATTTTCCTCTTTTGTTTCATCTTTTGGTAATCTAAAATAATTAATATATTTTTAAATATTAAAATTATCGATATAAACCATATGTTAAAGTAACGACACTAGCCATGTAAACAATATTATTTACGGACCGAAATATTATAAAAATATAAACGAAAAGAGCAATATAGCATAAATAGAACACGCCAAAATACGATATGTATCGATTTATACACGCAATCATTTTCAGAATAACTTACTTACGTTTTAAATACTGTTATTCCAAGAAAGTGTTTAACTTACCGGTGAAACGTAATATTGCTCGGTTTGCGGGATATTGATGACGCACAACCAATTATACAGCACCTAGGCATTGTTTTGCATAAATAATTTACAATTTTCTGCCATGAAAGTTATATAAATTAAAGTTATAAATGAAAATAACCACAAAACTTATAACACTGACAGCTGAACTACTTCCGAGAATACGCAAAGCAAATTTGCAAATGGCTGACAGGTGGTACGATAGCTATATCTCATGACGTCACGTAAAAAATTTTGAACTGTCACACTAGTGTTATCTTTGTTTACTAAAGAAACTTCTTATTAGTTAAAAAAAGACAACATGATGTTTTTGATGTTAACTTCAGATTGCATGATATTTATATAACCATAGAAAATATTTCCACTCTACCTTACTCTATGATGACGTTGCATGAAACGTCAAATACCCACAAACCAAAGAGTAGTATACAAATTATGTAGGCGGGTTTATTTATATGTAAAAATTTATTTATTTACTTGACATTGGCGGAATTGTGCGAAATGCGCAGATAAGCCATTAATTAAAAAGAAGAAGAGTGAAATGTGAAATACCCGTTTTTTCTGCTTTACTGTTTGTTTTAGTGAAGAAACGACAACGCCATTTGGCAGGATTGTGGTTAACACAAAATAGTCATTAAAATAGAAGAAGAAGAAGACAACGCCATTATTAATTAAAACGTAGAAGAAGACTTCAATTTATTTCTGTTGTGGTTAGACTTCTTTGATTCAACATTTGAATTAAATCTATTTATCATAGGTAGTGCGATAACACAGCCAATCTTGATATATGTTAGATCCATTCTGTAATAGTAATTAAATATTATTTTTAAACATAGTTGTGACATCTAACTTTGGGCCATGAGATAGTTATTGTGATATTATTCTATAATGGAAGAACAACAAAAAGTTCTGAACTATTTGGTGTCAGTCGAGAAATTAGCAGAAGAGATTTTATCCGATAAAAGGGAAATAATTATGTTAGATAAGAGAAGAAATGAAAATAGAGAAGCACTCAGAGAGCTTACCAAATCACAGCAAGTAAAGAATTGGATAACTGTAGGATCTGTTCTAATAAAACATAATTTAGAAGCAACAAAATCTATGCTAGAGGCGGATCAGACTCAGTTGAGTATAGACATAAATAATCTTCGATCTAACCTTAAAGTCAAAGTCAATGATTTGAGAGATTTGGAAATGCAACCACCTGTACCAGGATTAATGTTAGTACCTATGACACAAAAGGAGAGAGAAGGATTAGCAAAAGCAGGCTTATTTAATTAGAAAATGGATCCATATTTCTAATGAACAAATTACAATGTACCTTCTGAGCAGGACATGAATAAATATAATTTTTCTTATATAGAATTTTGTACATATAAAATATGTTTATATGTAATTTTCCCCCTATTACATTTGAGGACTTTGGGCTTCCTGCAGGAGCTGGGGTTGCAGTACTGATGCAACCCAGTTATTCACACTAAATAGGCAGAGTAGTATAGAGTTGTAGAACACCACTAAGCCCACAGTATAACATAACATTGGAAATCAGTCTTCTTATTATTAAAGTAGTTGTTCAAAATATGTATTATATATTTAAGCCCATGGGCAGAGATGGGGAATATATTTGAGTTTTTTCTTTTAATACAAATTAAAATAGAAAAATATATATAATTTATACTTCTTAGGCTTTAGTATCATGTTAACTGTCAGCACTGACAGGCCATATTTGCCTGTATGGGCTCTCGAGAAGTGTTCTATTGTTATGACATCCACTCAGCGCTGACGACATGTAGTTAAAGGACTTGGTCATCATCCTTTTTTACTCTGTTTCAAACAGTATAAATTCACTAGCAATCTGAGCAAAAAATGAACATGCTGTGTTAATCTGAAATAGCTTCAGCGCAGTAGGGAGAAATGATACCAACTTCCAGGTTGTAGATCTCCATTTTACTAAACAATCTTCATCTTATATACTATTTAAATCTAAGAGGGGGAGATTGGGTATGTGATAAGTAAATATGCTAAGGAAGCGTATTTATCGAACGTAAATCATTTGCATACTAGTGCATTCCATCCAAATCACATTTATAATGTAATTCTTAATATTTGCTTATTACACATCTTTTTTGTTGTCACTTCTTTTTGCATAAATAATACACTGGAGCAATTCGAACACTCATAGGATTGGCCATGTCTGTAATTTGCAGTGATCAGCACGACACTGAAACGTGTGGGCTGATAGTTCAGCGCGGTCGGTCCGCGTTACACTAAAACCAGCCTTAACACAATAAAAACTGAAATGGAAAACTTCATAATAATATTGTGTAAAATAGTACGTAACCTGAGCCTTAAACCAGGGCTCTTTGACCCCGCACTGGTCCTGGTAAAATCCGCTGTGCCGAAAGATACAGGTTATGATGTTATTGGAGCCTGCCGGGTCCAGTAACATAATAACCATAACCTGTATCTTTTGCGAATTTGAGGTTTGGGACCAGATGCACAGTATCCGTTCACTTGAGCAAAATCGGAGAAAAGGGATAAATCGGAAGTAGTATTAGGTATTACCAAGTCTGGGGGGTGGGGGACGTAAACAATGTTTAAAAAAGATGAGATATTATTACATATCACATTGAAATATTCATTTTAACAGAAGTTGGACAGATTTTGATGATTCTTTCTTTGTTTGAAAATTAGTGCTTGCTAGGTTATCAATTCGACTTTTTGTATGTTACCTCTAACTTTTGTAATGGGTGGACAGATTTTGATGATTCTTTCTTTATTTGAAAGCGTGTGCTTGCCGTGTGGTCTCTTTTTAATTTGGTCCAGATCTATGAGAAAACCATATAAGTCTTTTTGAATTACTTAATGAAAATTTAAGGTAAGCGTGATGTTCGTTACCCCAAAATTCAAAATATCACTAAAATGCATGAAATAAAAACTTGCAAATTAAATAAGTGAAAAAATACTTAATATAATAATAATACTCTTTAAGAACATTGAAGTCTGGCGGTTAATATTTGATTAACTACAGAAAATTCAGACCTATTCAATGATTCTTAAAAGAATTAACCGCTTTTTAAGATAAGTATTATTTTTCACTTTTTTAAAGTTGAAGTCGGTTCCATTTTCACTTGTAGGCCAAAAGCCTAATCCATCCAATCGGTGATGAAGCTAATCATGTCATGATTGGCTTGTGTTTAAGATTCGTTTTGTTTGTTGTGAACTTTGGTGATTATTTATTTTGAATTCGGCATGTTTGTCACATGATATATTTCTTACCTATAATATAATATTATTGAATTAAGAATACTAGTAATAAAAATTACAGACACCCACTTGAAATGATAAGTAGGTATTTATTCGTTGCCTTTGCAGTCTTATGATTTAGCTTTTGTTTTTTTTTACGTTAAGTTTATAAAATGATCAAAGAAGTAACATTAAAGTTAATTACAAAAATATTAAATACAATACTTATTGTATGTTAAATATTTTTATAAACCATAAATGATATTCGAAAGAAAAATCTGTCTAATTAAATAGACACCTCATCTATTTCAAATATTTTCTAAATTATATATCAACTGCGTTGTCTTACATTATGAGAGATGTTTAAGTTCGGGATACCGTATCATATACCACGCAAGCCAATCTAACCAATTATTCGTCCGTTTCAACGGTTTTGGGTGCAAATTCACCAGTGTCAAGAATTGGTAGATTATTAAATTAATATATTAATTCCGTGGATGTAAATGTGATGTCTCTAATTCAATTTAAAGCTGAATTGAAGCGATAAATAACTGTTCAACTCTCAACGTGTCAGTGTATTAAGTATAATGGTTTCCTTGTTTTTCTATTTGTTGAGCGTGGTGACACTGCCAGAGAGTATTACACTTTAGTGTGAGTATTGTCTTGCGCACCAATACAAAGAATATGCTATTTGCCTGGCAGACGCTACTGTTTGCGGAGTTGCATATGGCCATAGCACACAGTTGTTGCAATGCATTGGGCACAGTGAGTATTAACATTGATTAGTTGATTTTTATAAGTAAGGCTATGTTTAGTGCTTCATACATTCATATGACGGTCTTGTATGGCGGTATTATGGGAAGACCATTATAGCTAAAGTATTACATGATGGACAAGGATGGAGTCTCATTTATGAATATAGATTACAAATTAGAATGAAATTGCAAAGTATATTTTTATATTTTATTACGCTAAGGTAGTCTCAAATAAAAAAATCATCAAATATATAATTTTCAATATGCACAGTTACATCTTTATACATGTAAATAATATAGTACATAATAACAATAAATAATAAATAGTACCAAATTTTAGGATTTATCCATTAATGAAATTGTTGTTTGGTGTGTGTTATATTTATAATACAAAGTGACTTGACTAAATGCCAATTTGTATAAGTGGGTTAAACTTGTAGAGATTGAATAATAAAAATTACAATATCTAAATTGTTGTAAGTCAATAATAAAATTATTTATATGAGTTAAAATGGCATTCTTCTTTGTTCAAAACATAAACATAATAAATTGTAACCAATCACTTCATCATCACCAACTAGCTTAACTTTTATAAACAATATAATATGGCCATATACGATTGATAGGTAGATTTGACATTACATTTTCTTTGAGAAATAAACATTTGCAACATAATAATAGAACTTAGCAATATTAACTTACTTATGAATAATTGTCAATATCAAAACATTTATTCTAGAGGTTATTGCTTAATATAATAATAATATTTCTTAGTAGGTTGTATCAATTCTCAGTATAAAATGACACTTGTAATAAAAAGGGATCTCAAATACTCGTTTGTAATTACGTGGATTGTCTTTTGAGCATAAATTATCATCTGTCACTATCACAAGTCTTTGAATTCCAAATGGCCAAAGCACATTGTTTATTTTTATTTTTAACATTGACTCTATACTATCGGCATGTCTTGTACATAAGGACATGTGCGAGTGTCGGGGCCCCTGGTGCCATCACAGATCGCGGGCGCTCTCGTCGCCGTCCTCTCTTAATCCCTACCAATTTGCCATTCCGGGTTTGTTGAGTGTCATGAAATATATCTGACAGGAAGAGCCCCCTTTGGCGGACGAGAAAAATACCTTGTCGTTGCGCTCACATAAAAATTTGAGTCGTTGTGCTTTTTTGTGCATAAACACACCGTCGAGATGACCGCTCTCCACTGAGCGAATTTCGATGGCTTTATTTCCCCAACCCATTATTTGTCCCGTGCCAATGTACGCAACCGATGTAGGCATTTCACCCCACTGAAAGGAAAGTTAGTGGTTATTATTTTGTCATAGACCATTTTATCTTCCCAATGTCCATAATTTATGTATTAGCAGTTTTTCCAGAACTTCGCCCGCGTAAAGTATGTCATCCAAGTATGTAATTTGTAATTTTCAAACAATTAACTCTTTCTTGTTTATAATGTGAATATAGACGTGCCAAATGACAAATGGGAATATACACTTTTTGCGTTTGTCATCATTGATGTCGGAAATATTATTTTCCAGTAGGCGTATTCTCTTACCTGTAGCACAATATTTTTACTAACGCGTCCATTAGTATTTACGTATACACCTTCATTGTCATAACATAATAATAACTGCACACCATTAGAGTTTGGAAGAGGTACAATACAATGTGGAATAATTGCTCCCTGTGTCTGAAAAAAGGTGTTTAATTATAATACACAATAAAATTTCTCATACCCTAAAAGAAGATACTTTAATTTTATACAATCTTAGTATTAAATGATCCAAATTGACTCACATGCTTCGGAATATAAATATCATAGACAGTGGCAGTGTCCAGGTCAACAGCATGGAAACCATCCGCTGAACCATAAATAACTTTCAGTCTTGTTCCTTCTTCTATAGTTAGATCTACTAATAGAGGCCTGAAAATAGAAATTTTATGTTTGAATCTCTGGAATGTAAGAGATGCAAACTCATACTCAAGAGTTAGCAGCCGAAAGCTAATTGATAAAATCAATGACAGTACAAAAATAAGTAATTAGCAATTACCGTACATAAGTACGGTCAACAGACATCAAATTATACAAATCTCTCAATATTTCTTCACTTGATTTTTAATGAAATCAAATGTTAATATTTTGAAGGTAGAGTTTAAAATCAATTATAAAAAAATTTGATATTTTGGGAACCTGATGTAAAAGTATTAGCCATCTGTGTGTTTCTTATAAAAAAAGATATTTTGTTTTATTTTAAGTGTCTTACCTATGTTGTAATTCTCCAAAGTTTTTAAAAGCCATGAACTTATGATATGGTTTAGGCGCCCACGCGTATATTTCAATGGAATCTTTCAACGCGATCACTAGGAACTTAATTCGTTCGTATTTCACAATACGAAAGTGAACTGCACCTTGTAATTCACCAACATTTATCCATCCATTTCTTCTTTCTGCTTGCTACATCAAATAAAAATGATATTAGTTACCGATTATAACATTGTTTCATTAAATTCTAAATTTACAAATTAAATACATAAGTTTTTAGACAGATTTTGCTTAGCTATCTATAGGTTATTTTAGGTTTAAGTTTATTTAGATGGTAAAGTAAACCTTAATAAGTAAGTTTCAGTAGGCAAAAATAAATTGTGAAATTCTAAAAGTAAAATTTGCATTACAGTAAACATAAATATTTCATAAAACCGCATGACAATTTTATTATATAATTCATAGTAGTTTTTTAATCTGTATCACATAACCGGAAACTTGACTCGCCATAGTGTGACGTAAACTCATGCATAAATAAAATATTTATCTAATAGCCATCCACAAAGTCATTAGATGGAACTGTTTTTGTCCGATTGATATCTTAAAGGTCTAATAGTTGTTAAATAACCGTTTTCTTTACATATCAAGATGACGTCATGACGGTTTTTCGCGGGAATGAAAATAGGTTAAATTAAAACATTTTAAGGTAAGAAAATGTTATATAGCCAAAATATCTTTTCTGTAGCTAATTAAATTAAAATTAACATTAACAAGTACTTCAGACAGTAGAATCTGTGATCTGATAATGTATTCATTTTTATAGAATTTACTTTTGTACGAAGTAGCGCTTAGTTGACCACGCTAACACAGTACACCATAAATTTTAATTATATAAGTTGTAGTTGAAGTTAGTTTTAAGTTGAAATTGTAAGTATATGCGAAGTATCTTAAGAAAATTCACAGTTTAGATTTATTAGTTTATTTGATGTTACTAGTGTTACAGTTAGATTGATACTTATTTAATAATGTATATTTCACTCTAAAGTAAAGTGTGTTAAGTTCAAATATGCTGACAATAATAATAATAGTTTCCGTATTTATTGAGCGCATTGAACTTAGCAGCTGACCGCGCGTTATGTGCGGCTAAACCGTACAACTTTCTTTGTATTCGTCAGTCATAATCTATTTTAGTTCTATTTAATTCTAAGAATTGTTAAAACTTACATCACTCAGGCCATCAGTGCGTAAAATTTTTGATTTGAGCCAGCTTAAATAATAAACTCGGACGCGATTCTTTTTCCCAGATACTGTCACGAGAATATTTTGTCCTTCTAACACTTCCATTTGCTGGAAGCGGCGTCGTGAGATCAATTGATAAACTTTTCCTTGTCCCGAACGGTCAAGTAGCATTAAACCATTTTCTGTGCCAATCAACAGATTGACCCCTAAAATGAAAACGTATCTTTAGTTTGGATTGTATTGTGTAGTAGAGAGATGTAAAAAGTATATTTAATCTTAACTCTATATCACTTAAAAAAAAGCAATATCAAGAATATTTCAGACATTACAGAACAATTTTCTGATTTCAACAATTGAACTAAGACAATTAGAAATGAAAACCATTTTAAGGAATCTCAAAACTATTATGATATTGAAACAGTAGTAGTACCGGGATTGCTAGATTGATAATGATAAATATTAATACGATATGTTATATAACAAAGGGTACACTAACCCCATAGAGCGGCGCACAAAATCTCTGAGTTGAATCTCTTCTTGTACTTCCGTATCTCGGGCGTGTCCGAGCTGAGATCATGTCCGGTGGGCGTGACGTTGACATTGACGTGGCTCTCGCGACGGGACGCGTTCCCACCGGAGCCGCCCGTGCCGCTGCCCGTGGAGCCCGCACCGAACCCGAACGTCAGGAACGACCGCTGCTTCTGTTGCAAGGGGAGGAACTGTTGGGACCCCACCGACGAGTTGGAGGGGGACTGTTGCAACGCGTGCGGTGAAGCGGCGCCCGATACGAACGACTTGGACGGGGTGGACTGGACCGAGGAGGGGGACGGATGGTGGTGGTGGTGGGGCAGAGGCATGCCACCGGCAATCGCTTGCCTGTACTGTAAGAGAAAACGAATAACATTACGAGCGTTCATCATAATTATTTTTTATGCAATCGCTTTTTTGTTTATCGTATCATGACGTAGGATTTAAAGTATAGACCTTTTTTTAAGTTTAAAAATTAAAATCTCGTTTGTCTTTCCTATCATTTTCATCATAATCACAAAAAGGAATCTTATTAGCCTTAGAAAAAAAAAATATTATTATAGTAATTAGTCAAAACATTACCAATTTATTATATTGTAAATTTAAAAATTATGTTAAATGCAACTCCGCCGCCCTTTCATAATTTTTGTAACACAGTTTAATATAATCTATTTCAGTAAATTTCGGATTTTTGTTTCTTCAAAATCTTATATGAAAACGTTAAAATGATTTGTTAGTCAGTTAAGTCCATCCCCCAGTGATTAGTTATCATATCAGATACTATTGGAAAGTTATTTGCTTGTTTGCTGTTACCTACAATATTCATAACTGTAATAATGACATGATAATATGAATATGACTACAGGCAATGATCAGATAATGTTGTCATTTGGCATTCCTTGGTATTATTTTCATATGAAATTTATGAATGAGGTGAGGCATTCAATATACGTTTCAAATAACGTAATTAGAGTTGTATAGAACAATGGGATCATATACTTTCTCAATTCTTTTCGATTTAAAGATTTAAATTTACAAAAAAGGTATAAAAGTAAAAATAAGAATATTATATCAGTGCCAATAGACTGAAACTGTATAATTATTTAACAATTTCTTTTTTACATTAACTATTTATTATAATTATTGTAAAGCGGCACAGTCAGAAGTTTCCCCAATACAGAATTAACCAAAGTACCCATACGTTTTTAATAAAAGCTGCATTTTCCAATTTCTACCTATAAAGATGGAGCTAAAGATCAATTTGAAAGATGCAACATAACATTACGGCAAAAATGAAAGCATCTATGAATGCATACTGAAGGGAACATAGGAAGAAATATACAGGTTTAAATATTAACAAACAACAATCTATGAGTTTTATAAGCTTCTTTCTTGCATCAATTCGATGAATACTTACGCATATTGCAATAGATGTCTGCGAGCCGGTTGCAGATCGAGGCTCCAGCGTGTTTGCATGATCGACAACGATTATAAAATTAATAGGGTATACTATACCGGTTCCCTATCCATTCATATACAATTGTATTTGAGACAATATAATATGGGGTTCTTTTATTCCTCCTAATTATATTTACGCATAACAGCTTACACATATTTTATTTAGAATAATTTATAATATTAATGTTTAAAACATAATATCAAAAAGCATACATTTAATCGCTGCTTCGGGAGGGCTCACTTTTTGTGTCAATTCCAGTTATAATCAAACCTAAGACTTAAAGGTTCTTCCAATGATATTACAATAAAAAAGTGTAGATAGGTCAAGTCAGTACTACTTCTTCTTCTTTTATTAATGGCTTATCTGCGCATTTCGCACAATTCTGGCAATGTCAAGTGAATAAATTAAGTTCTACATGTAAAACGAAAATGAAATGAATGAAAGATGGCGATGATCTAAGATCCGATGTCAAAAATTGTCCCCAGCATACACGCACGCACTTGGCAAGATACTCTCCAATTATGCATAGACTATAATTGAACATGTCACAGACCAGACGTATAATGATTTATTGTATGTTTAATGCCTACTTTTACCTAAACGAGTTAAAGACTTCAATCAACAGTTCAACAGTGTACAGTAATGTGAGACATCAAAAATGTTGATGTCTCACATTATACACAGGATGGCATTTTAAAAATGAAAATGGTACATAAACGCACACAATCAACGCTTTCGCCAGACTGCGCTCAGGTATGCTAATTAGCATAGTTATAGGTGACACTTTTTGAATGCAAGCAACCTATCTACCCTTTTTTATTGTAATATCATTGGGTCTTTCATATCAGCACACATTAAACGAATTGAAACTATAAAGAAAAATATAATAAAGAATAATAATAATGCCCACAAAAACTGTATGTCGTAAAATAATTATGCCAAAACTGTTATGCCAAAGTATATTAGGAATAAAAAATTATGCATAAAGAAGGGATTCCCACGATATCACACTACACATGATCCTCTTGCGAGGTTCTTAGCATATTATTTGTTTTCAACACTACATAATGTCTAAATATTAGAATTTCATTGATATTAACATTTTTATGAGATCCTTTCTCTAATTCGAAATAAATAAAATTAATAAAGTTGAATTATGACATAGAGGTTAATTTCAGAAAGAGAATAAAATTGCAATAAATGGATTAAAATTATTAATATTTAAGTTTTACTTCTTTAAGCATTATACTAGGAATAATAAAAGTTTTTTTTACTGTATATGAAGGTATCAGTTATAGAATTCCTTCTATTTTATTTGACTTGTAATTGTTATTGTTCATTAAAAGGTCAAATAATTGTTTACTTAAAATACCATCAAGCAAAATTATCTGATGAGAGAATGAGACACACAGCTTTGCCCACAAACTTTGTATCTTTTAACAGCCACCAGAATCAGTACTTGGTCTGAGAAACTGAATTATTGAAGCGAAATTTCATCAAGTTATCGTTTTATTTCACCATGAAAGTGGGACCTCAGACCAAACCTTGATTTATTAAAGCAGCATCTATATACTAATCGCTATGTAATGGTAATGGCTCGTAACTGTTTAGGCCATCGATGTTTTTGACAGATATGAAGTAAGCGGGTTCGTTTCTCGAGTAGTAATGTTTGGTAGTAGACTTACCTCCTCGCTAGTGGATTTGTCGTGTCTTGGCGGCGTGGTAGGTTGGCCTGCTTGGCTGAGCAAGTCTGGCAGCACCGAGCTTGTTCTAGCTCCACTGCTATCATTTCCACTTGACCGACCCTACACATTTTTGCTTCATTATGAATGTAAATAAAACTTTCAACGAACTCATCTGGATGGACAAGTACAATTCAAAATGTAACCAAAGTCAATCGAAAGATATAAATGAAAATGGTAGGACAAATTTATTAACACTATCACAGCACAATAGCGCGACAAATACAAACAATTCAGCCAGCACATGCAGTAATATTCACATTCACATTACGGTCGATGTTCTTTGCAGCTCCTAGAATGTTTCATTAGGCTTTCATTCCCAGAATTGTTAATGGTTGTGTTTGGCATCTTCTAAATTCGTTATTTGATGTCTCGCACTTTTTGGCAGGAAGACGGTATTCACGCACACATAATTGTTTTGATGATTGTTAGTATTAGTGTGTGATATGTTTATGATAATTAGTTGTTTGCGAAAAAAGCTATTAGGAGTTGAAAATGAAGATTAGTGTTTGGTAAAGCATTATAATATTTAAGTACAATAATTATTCCATGTACCGTATGTAGTAAAACTAGAATAATAATTATCACGCCAAAATGTAAGACGCGTGAGCAATCCACTGTATTAAGTAATTAACAGTAAGTACTTTCTTTCAAGCCCAGTTTGTAATTTTTATTATTTAAAAATTCGCTAATAAAATTTTAATTATATCAAAATATTATTAATGGTAATACTAATCTACTTTGTCAAACTGATTCAACTGTCGTATACATAAAGATAAATGTAAAAGTACTTATGTATTTACATGTATATTTCTAGTTTAATAACAATAATTGGCAATTGCAAATACATTAATTCTATTTAAAATAAGTACCTATAGATAATATATTAAATATGTATATAGCTTTGCTACAAGTCACAACAAAACAGATAATACCAATTATCCATTCCCAAACATATCATAAAACCAAAAACCAAATCTGCACTAGTAGACAGTCTCCCAAAAAAGCATGTTTATAAAACTGTTAGTAAACTATGGTTAGAAAATTCGAACCCTCATACCAAACTGTAAGTAAAGTAGTTTGAATTAATAAAACTATCCTGAGCAGAGAGCAATTTACCTGATCCTGTGCGAGTACCGCTTCCTGCCCACTCGACATAAGTTCAGAGTGCCGATTGTAATGGGAATTTCTTCGAAATACTATATCGGATTCAGTCTTTTCTCTGCGAGGCTTGACTATATTGTTAGAGTCAGGTGCGTTTATACGTCCTTGATTTTCGATAGTATTAGCTGTGAGGTCGGGTGTGCCTGCTTTCTCGAAGGACGCACTGTTGGTGAAGCAAATGCTCGTCGCTGGAGAATCACTGTTCACGCTACTTTGCCTACTTGGGCTATTATTTTCACTATCTTGTCTTATCAGTGCAGCAACACTTTTCAACGCGTCTATTGGATTATTAGCTTTTTTATCAACAGCCTTTTTATCATTTTTCTTCACTTCTCCTTGTGCAGACATCTTTAAGCTGTCATTCATTTTTATAAAATCAGTCAATATGGGTTCACCAGCAGGTGGAGCTTTAATGATTTGTTTTCGCGAGTTATTGAAAATGCCACTCGATCTCAATTGTTTACTGGCTCCTGCTTGACTTTCATGCTTTGGAAAGTATATAGCGGAGTGCCGTGTACTTGGTAAAGGAAAGAAGTCGGAGTTTTCTCTTCTGAATCCTCTAAAGAATCTATTTGGCGAGTTTAGTTCTGCGTCTTGTTCTTTTTTGTACTTCAATATATCGGATAACTTATCTTGCGTCGATTTTTCACTTGGTTTCTGGAACAACTGTTTGTGACGAGAAGGGGGAGTTGCGATTGCTTTGTAATTGGCCCACGCATCTTCCAACTCGATCCGAGATTGACTCTGTATTTGTGCGCGCTTTTGTTCGTTTTCTTTAATAGGTTCCTTTCCCTCCTTAGGGTCTGAATTTCGTGACGGGAAAAATCGCGCAAAATCCCAGTCCTTCAGTAGTACAGCTTCGTCTACGTCCGACTGCCTTTTGTCGTTTTCGGTATTTTCTTTCTGTTGTTTGCAAACATGCCCGATACAAAAATGAAATATAAATAATAGAACAAATTATAAACAAAAAAGAAGCTGCAACTGTGCTCACTAATCTTACATTGGCGTGAAAAGATGTATTTTGTCCCTAATCATAATTTAAAAAGTAAAAGCAAAACACATTGATAAGTAAAGTTAATAACTATAATAAATCAGCGTTATGCTTGGATATGCTAACCCACACAACGTTACCTTTTGTATAAAAATTAAATAAGTGTAAAATATTGTCATTCACAAACATATACACAGGTAGATCTTGATTACATTAAAATAAGAAATCATTTCTTAATCTGTGTGTAGCAACACGGGGCAAGAAGTGATGTGATGAAGACAAATAATGTCATGAGGGGTAGAAAAAGCATTCTTGTGATCATCTTTAGCTGGATGTTTCGATTGCAGCCAATGGTTTTTACATAAATAAACAACTGTAAAAGGTTTTCAGTTTTTTATCAGGCATAACAAAACATGGTTTAGGTTTAAACTCAACTATCTTAGGTAAACCCTTTATAATCCGTTTATCGAACAAAGGTGACTGACTAATCACACTACTAACCGAACTGAACGGAAAGCCACTAATATGTATTATGACTTATAGTTGTGTTAAGGAAGGACGCGTGTGAAGCCTCAGGCGGAAACCTATTTTTGTATATACAAAAAATGACGTTGTTTAAAATCAGAACATGTATGTATGAAGCATAACGCATCACACATCAAGCATGAGGTATTCATTGAAGTAAATTTACCTCAAAATTATCCCCAAGTCTTTGAACTCCCCATATTCACATTTTTATAATTCATATAGTTATTGTAGATTATATAAAAATACTGTCTGATCGGAATATTTGTGAACAGGAGGTTTAATACTAGCCGGAAAAATAGCGACCAGCGGAATAAATATTATGAGGCAATTAATACAGAGTTATTCATAAGATCAGCAATCTCTCGGGACTAGATAGCTAATATTTTTATAACAACGAAATTCTGTCTATGAATTTAAACATAATTCAACACTTTTAGCAAAAAATATTTGTTTCGAGTTTTTCTTGAATTGTCGATCTAAGCGAGGAATATAACAGCCAAAGAATTACGGGGGGAAGCGCGGTTTGGTTGGTAAAAGAAATGTGAATATGTAGAGAATCTTCATGCAAAACATGATGCACTCGAGTGTATATGAGTTCGACAAACGGAAGTGCGATGAACGCTACGCGTACTACTGAAGGTCGACAACATTTTTGAACAGAAAAAGATTGTGTAACGACAGTTCGACGCTAATGTGACTAACAATTATGCGATAGTACCATAATATAAAACTACGAATTGTTTCGGTTGCGCAGTTAAAGCGAGTGAACTTTTATAATTAGCCACACCGAGGTCTTGCCCAAGATAGAATGGAATACGAGAAACTGACTGCCGGCAGTTTAAGAAGAAGAATAGAACTGTTGTAACATTTATATTAAACATCTGCGTTTTAACTATATATTGATGTTTGTCATGAAGAGCAGTAAATATAATTGAATTTTATTTTTGTATGAAAATAAAACGCACAGAATTTTTTAAAAGCAGCAGCATTGTTGCTTATTGGCTATCTAGTCGTGCGAGGTTGTTGGTGTTCTACAAATAACCCTGTATAGGATTTTAAAGCCATCAAATATCAATTTATAGTTGATTTTTTTTATAAGTAAAGCAATAGCAGAAAGTATGACTGCACCAATGTCAAAGTGATTTTTTTATGATGGACTTACACTTCCCGCTTTAAACTCATTTCGCCGATCGCTAACAACGATATTCAATCTAGTCTGTTTACATAGGCGAGTTAATAATTGTAATACAGCGGTAACGAGTCGAGAGACCAAATCATAAAACCACGTCGTATATGATTACAGCTATTAGCTTTAGAATCAGATCGGAGAAAGTTAAACAATGAAGATGAGAACACACTCCATTTTTGTTGTACACGGCAATTTATTGACGACCACGTTGCTAAGTTTACATGTAATTCATATGAACAAAACAGGTAGTTAAGCGTTAAGCAGCATTAAGAAAAATCGGATGTGGTACACGTTGTTAAATACAACAGTAGGAATATGTTTAAATTGAGGCAATGAGAAAAATACATTCAAGTGTCTTCAATCAATCATATTTGAGAACACGTATATAGCGAGTTAATGTATTTTGTGTACCAATGAATTTGTGTAACAAGTAAAATTTGTACTAACCCTTTTCATGACGAGCGTGCGGTCTGGGTGGGCGTCGTCGTCATCGGGCGTGGGCGGTAACGGGCGGGTGGGCGCACCCCCCGTGCCGCCCCCACCCCCACCACCCGCGCCGTCCTCCGCCACCGCGCTCAGACCGGGCCTGTAGCAGAACTCGGGACTGACAAGCGGGACGGGGCGGGATAACAGAACCGAAAGCAAATCATAGTAACGGAAAGTATACCAAAATTAATCGGAGAATCGTGATTGTTGGTGTTCAATATCGTCATAATCAGATTGTGTCAAGTTACATATTACCTTCAATAATTTAATAACCGGTTGGAGTTGAATGGAACCAATGTCCAATAACAAAATATTGAAGGTCAATTAACTCAAACAGTCAACTTTATACATAATAAATAAAAAACGAGTTCTAAAAATCTTTAAGCTCTGTAATTTTAACTGTGGTCTTTTCTAACAGAAACAAAGTGTTGTTGGTATGGTTTATGGTTGTGTGCTATGATTTTTTATTATATAATTAAGGATGACTATGTAATAAAAAATTAATTGTGGTATAGAATATAAGGTTCATTATAACATACAGTGGTTTAGGAGGGTCGCTGGCTAGCAGAGTGCCATCGTTACGGACGCGGCCGCCGTTATCTTCCAAATCAGAGTCGCTGTCAGACTCATCGAACGTCGGCTCCGGTGGATTTCTCTCAACTGGAGGACCTGGTAGATTAAAACAATGTTTAGTTTAAGGAGTATCATTTTGAAAACATCCTATCAATAAGGAGAGCATTAAAATTGATGGCATACTCTGGACCTCCAGTTAATTAGTTAATTGAAAAGTATCTAGCCTTTGTAATAAAAAGGCTGGCGGAAAAACGGGCAACGATTCTGACATGTGAATGTTGAAAAAAAACGATACTGATTAATATCCATCACCTCTTCATCATTTCCAAATAGATTATGACTAGAAAGTATTTGTACTAATAATAAGAAACAGGTATAAGAACCTTGTCCATTGGCAGGTGCTCGTGGGGGTCGGTTTGGTGGTTCATTGCCTGATACTACACCCAGCTCGTTAAGTTGGGCTGCCAACTTGTCCAAGTCCTGTAATTTATATAAATAACATTTATTGTAAGCTATCACTACATAAAATTTGTTGTGAAAAGCTTTAAGGTATTTGTGAAAGCATAATTTTCAGAGATTACTAATATAAGTATTAATGCTATGATTTTTATGTATGTTTTCTAATAAGATATCAATTAATGAGTAATTTGAAACCGAGTGTTAAATTGTCAAATATCTAATACTGGTAACTGGTATATACTTTTTATTATTATTCTTAAAATTACAAATGTAAAATTTATATATATAATAATACAAACATACATTTGTAGAAAACTATATTAAAAAAGCATTCCATGTAAACCACTGAATGTGAAAATAAAGAAAAATATGATTATACTGAACTAAAATGCATGCAGTGTTCTACTAATTGTTTTTTATATAACCAACCTCTGGTCTTCGCGGAGGAAGCTGCAGTTGATGTGAAATTGGATGTGCAAACAAATGTTACAGCGTGACATGGAAATAAAACAAAAAATAATCACACAAACAAAATTAAATAAAAATATATATATATTTATTATAGCACAACAAACAAAGCTAGAATAGCCAATTATAATAATTTTGTATGAATGTAATTGTAATACTCAAGTGTATTATTTGATTACTCAGTTGTGGCTCTACATTTTACTGCTAAATTGGGAGAAGCAATGATATATCATTATAATACATAATTATGATCTGATGATTTACGGGAGACTAAGAAGTGGAGTTTCGTTATACTGGTATTTTGATTTTTTGGAATCATATAATACTTGATTTAATTAGTAAACTATCTATTTTGGATTGTCAACTATGTTGTGTTAATTGTAGTCACGTTAAAAAAAGGGCTCAAATAATTCCCTTTTAGTATTTCTTTGACATACCATTGGCTTGAACAAATGGTGAGACCCCCGCTGTGGAGGTTGTGGGCCACAGGCCGGTGGTGTGCCGTTATTGGAACCAGAACTGTTAGACGAGCCTGAAGATTTCGGTGTCGGCGGCAGAGGCCTAATAATAATAAATATTCATATATTAGTGTAAGTAACATAAAAAAATCCTATGTATATATTAATTTAGTTATAGTAAATGATATGTAGTAGCTTGATTGAGATTAGCTTTCTTGACATTCAAGATGTTTTCATATATCCTTCCCGGTTATTACGACTTCTGACTTCAATTTCGAGAACACGCGATCCATTTGATTGTGAAAGGTGTGTTGGCCTTTCTTAGCTTCTTCATTTAATACAATATTACAATCTGTTGAATAATTGCGAATGAGTTCTCCGTGTTTAATAATACTGTATATTTAGTATGGAAATCTAATAAATAAAGACGCAATGCAGTACTTCTCCGTCTATTCTTTTCTTTTAATGGCTACTTTGCGTCAACCATAGTTCTGTCAAATTCACATAGGTGACCATTACACGATGTAAATAAATTACACCAATGTACAATTGATTTCTTTCTACATATATAAAGCGAGGTGCGTGACCCTCACGTTACAAAGCCTACTCCATGAGTGCATTGGGCGATCCAGAAATCTGCATGCGCCTTGATAAGTAAGGTTAAGTTCGTTATTAGAACCAGATAAAATAAATAAGAAAGAAGCAGGTTTTAAATTTTTAAGAACAATTTAAGTCTATATTGATCCAAATAGGATTCAAGCCCTGAACCTCAGATGACAACACGTTGAAACTGGCTAGCATTGTACTATCTTACCACCAAATATGCAATAACTTACACTATTTGTGTATTCATAATAACTAAAACAAATCTTATTTAAAAAATAGTATTTTTTTTCGATATCTATTCCAATTAGTAGTTGAGCCCTAATACTTTTTATTTAATCTCATATTCACTACATATTTAAAGATACAAATATCCAATTCAAATATTCGTTATTGGATCTTCTATGATTCAGCGAACATCAAGTTTCAGGTTGTAATGGTGTGTTTATACTGTGTTCAGTTTTACTACTTATTAACCACTACACTGCTTTCAATTGGTCCAATATAATACGATGTTTTTGTTAATGTACACTGATAAGTAGTTAGTTATAATATTTACCTATATCTATTAGGTTGCTGTGTCTGCGGGTCTGGAACTACAATCAGTCTTTGTGGAATGGAAGGCCTCGCCGGAGGGCCAGGCTCTACGGTATTAACAAACAACACGAGTTAATATAACGCCACATTTGTTAAAATTAGCTTAAGTTAAATATACCACATACCTGGAATTTCTTCTCGTTCCTCTCGTTTGCTGTTGCGTTTAGGCGGTGGCTGCGGTTGTGGAGGCTCCACAGGAGCTCTGAGTCATTTAGAAAAAAGTTAATGGTAATGAACACTGTTAATGGGTTATAGTTATAATGTAAAGTGCTATTATCTTACCGGCCTTCCTGAATCTGTTGAAAGTTGCGGCGTAAAGTATCACCACCCTGGTGTGGAGCATTGTGTACTATAGATGATGGTTCCCCAGCAACGGCACTCTCTTCTTCCTCGCCTTCTGAACCAGAGTACTTGTAGTCTTCACGGACTGAATTATCCTGCTTTCTCTTCTTACATCTGTCTATGTGATCTTTAAGTTGTATTCTGACTTGCCGCTCTGTAGGTTGATCTCTGTAATACAGTTAATTTATTTAAACATTCAATATAGAATTATTATTATTATTTATAAGCAAAAAATACTCAAGCAATCTTCTGCAATATAAAGGAACCAAAATTGCATAAATTTCATTGTAAAAACAAACCTTATGAAAGGATGTTTTAAAAGTTGTTCAGTATATGGCCTTTGATGATAATCCTTCACAAGAACAGTTTCAATGAAACTGTGGAATTTCTTGGCCCACTTTTTGGATTTTAGACGTGGAGGTGGATTTCTGTAACATTAAGATATTAATTATTATATAATATAAATATGTAAATCATTGATTTTATTTTATAAGTACCTCGGAATAAGAAATAGAGCTCTCATTGGGTGAAGATCACAAAGAGGGGGTTGACTTTCAGCCATCTCCAAAGCTGTGATACCCAGTGACCATAGGTCAGAGCGGTTGTCGTATGTGGCATCAGGGTTTTCATCACAAGCTATGACTTCTGGAGCCATCCAATAAGGAGTACCAATAAAAGTATTCCTTCGTCCAATAGTCCTATCAAGTTGTGCTGACACTCCAAAGTCCACTGCAAAATGAATAATTTTTATTAACACTCACATTTACTATAATTGATAAGGGAACATCAGTGCTTAGTAATTACCCAGTTTCACTTCTGCATTATCAGTTAACAAGACATTTTGCCCTTTGATATCCCTGTGGATGACTTTGTTGGAGTGTAAATAGCTTAAACCTCTCAATATTTCTCTACAAATATATGAAATCCACTCTTCTTTTAGTGATTGCCCTTTGGTTGATTTAACCAAATCTGTCACTGATCCTGAAATTATTGATCAAGGAATTCAAAATACAAAAGAATGGTTCAAATCAAATTATAAGTATGTACTATACTATTCAATTAACCCATTGGTCCTTGGGCATAGTACATGCATTATTATTATATTGTTATAACCATACATCTATGCATCCAGAGACTAACAAGCTAATATTGTACTAAGTACCTGCACCACAGTACTCCATGACTAACCACAGCTGATCATCTTTACCGGGAGGACTCTTTTTTATAAATGCTCCATAGTATGTGGCTATGTTACGGTGATTTGAATACTTTTTTAATACATTGATTTCAAGTTTTATTTCTTCCTCTTCATCTTGTGTGACATCCATAACCTTAATAGCAGCAAGCTGGCCTGTTTTTGTGTGCCGGCCCTACATAATACATACAATGTAAATTATTTGGCATAATTGTTAAACCTACTTTATTTTTAATTGATGATTTTATAGAAGTAGGTACTTCTATATATCTTTGAATAAAATTATAAAGGTATATTTACTACTTAGTAGCTCTTTCTATTGTTCTAATAAAGCCTACTTTTGTAAACCTTTCTAATAATTGATTTTGGTAAGAACTGATTAAAATTAGAGTACATATTTATTTACCAAGTGAATTGCAATTTAAAAAATGGAAAAAATCCCTGACCTTAAAAATAGTAAAATTATGACCTGATTGTGAACAGGTTTGTAAATGGTATGTCTAATAACTAAAGATTTTTAAAAACCTAAAATCCCTTTTTTGGGATAATATATATTGATCACATCAGAATTATTGTTAATAACAGAATTGCTACCATTTACCTTATATTTTATGAGATCCCAATATTTTTGGGCCATATCATGACATATTATGACCATGAAAGTAAAAAAAAAAATAGTAATCACATTTCATATTTTTTATTAAACAGTGTATTTTTGAATTTTTAACAAATTGTTTATTTCCTGTAAAACACTTTGTCATAACTATGATTCATAAATTATCAAATTTGTTTCACAACAAATAGTTCTTTACTAAAATTAGTATTATTTTATCTGTGATTTAAATTGACTAATTTTAAGTTTTTACTTATACACTTACATATGTATAAATTGCTTTTGCTTCATAATAATTTTGATACATAGGAAGTTTTATCTCACTTGTTTTCAGTACTCATAACTTGTGTTAGAGGATTTAACATAAATGAGAATTTTATTGAAGGCAAAGGTTCTGAATTTATGACTTGTAACAGTTACTCACGATTACAGTAACTACATTCATTGACATTAATAGCTTGAACTCTATAATTGTACTGCTTTCATTGGATCCTATTAGGTTTAATTGTACAGAAGAAATGTGATTATGGACTCCTTATTAACATTATAATATTATTTTATTAGAAGATAAAAAGTCTACCCATGATATAATCTTAAAGTCGTCGAAAATTTTAAGTAAATGAATGTTGAATTTACCTTGTAAACCTGGCCATAAGTACCATTTCCAACTACTTCTATGAGTTCGAATATACCAGCAGGATCCTGAAATTACAACAATAAACGAACAAAATAATGATAAACTGTCCTATAGAAAAGAATAAAGTAAATCTTACACAGGAGTTTATGATTCACGCCCTGTGAGATCATTGCCCTTTAGGTAAGTTTCATAGTATGATAAGAGAAAGTTGTCTTCTTGCTGACGTGATTTTGGTTAGTGCTAAATATAACCCATTTCTAAAACTTACCTTTAGTGCGCTGAGGTCAATGTCGTCTAATGAACAATTTACAGACGGTGCCAGTTGATGCGCCATTTTGAGTATATTGTCACACACGGAGACAAAGCACGAAAACCTCACATCAATTTAAATTACGTATAAAAGCCCTATATTAACACATTAGTCACACTGATAGCTAATATCTCATTGTAATACGTTTACATAATTTATAAAACACATTGTTTACAACTAAATTTAGGTAATTTACAGATAGGTACACAGTTTCTATGTTTCACACACCCGGCAGGAATGGGGATACCATACTTAATTTTAAGAACAAAATTCTCTGTGGCTGATTCTTTTTCAATGACGGGGAAATATTAAAAAAATGTACTTGAAATCAAACTAGATGTCGCTACTGTACTTTCTTGATTTCTCCATGACAACCCTCACAGTTTTTTTTCATGTATAAAAGTAAATAAATTTTCAAAACTCAATAAACAACTTATATTCTATTCGTACTTTTTCGTATTCGTATTGATATCTAGGTTTCGAACTTTGCAAATTTCAGTTTATTATTTTAAGAAAAAAGATTCCTCGTTTTGAGTAAATAGCACCTCATTAGATGGCGACTTTAGCAAAAGTAGATTTTTGCATGAAATGAATGGACCATATAGCCATATTAAAAAACCGAAATTTGCAAAGTTTGAAACTTAGATATAATGCAAATAGAATATGAGTTGTTTATTGAGTTTTGAAAATTAATTTACTTTCATACATGAAAGAAAACCGGAAGGGTTGTCATGGAGAAATCAGTAAAGTACCGTAGTGACATCTAGTTTGATTTCGAGAACTAATTAATTTTTTAAATACTTCCTGATTCGCAGAGAACATACATTAAAAAAAACATATATTCATCGAACATAGATCCTCATATTTATAAACCTATATATAAATAAATTTTACGCGGTCAAAAACTGATTATATTTCGATTTTGTGACCCCTCTCGAGTAGAAGCCTGGATCCACCCTTTAAGTATCCCACATAACTTGTCTGTACCATTATATTCTAATTTGATAATAAAATAGTGTTATCAAATTTTTACCAACTATTTTTATCCTGGGTAGACATTTGTTAAGTTTTTTAAGAAATTATTATTTTGACTACATAAAATAACTACGAAGTGCATTGAAATGATTTGAAACAAACGCAGAAAGAAACAAGTGATGTATGCATGTATGTACATGATTCCTTTGCTTTGATTTATACAACAACAGTGATATACTGGTGGCGCCACAAGTCATTTAATTACAATTTATGTTATGAGGAGTTGATTTCTAGACAGGCGAAAACCAATACGCTGAATAATGCCATACGCCTAAAGTAGTGCCATACGGCTTGACATTTTGTACCAGGTAATATGAAATTAAAGCATTACTCAGTACTTCAAACATGACCTAAGATGACCCGCTATGCGCCGCGATGAACATTCAGCATATTCATGTACCTGTAATGAGGAAGTATTAAAAAAAAAAACGAAAGCACTAAAAAGGCACCTCCACTAGATGGTGACTCTAGCAAAAGTTGATTTTTGAAGGAAACGAATGAGGAAATAATTAAAAAAAAAATAAAGAAGCTACAAAAACGACACTAGATGGCAACACAAATTGTGTTAAACGTCAATTCATGACAGTAAACCAAAGAGAATAGAATTGTCAGTGTTGTCATGGATCTGATAACTCGGATTAATATCGAGTTGAAATTTAATTAATTCGAGTTATGCAAACGCAACTCGATTAATACAAAGTAATCTTAGAATAAATTTCTTTTTTATTTGTATAGAGGAAAATGGAAACTAACACAATGGAAGTGAGCTCAGAGGTTTTTTTTTAATTTATGGAAATCAATTGAATTAATGCTGCGATATAATTAAAGTGGCATTTATCTACGGTATACAATAATATTCCCGCCAAATAGTTTTTATAAGTAAAATAATTATGCCATAGTAGGTCTAGGAATTTTTCATTATAATATTTAACAAAAGTTCTGAAAGCAATAACAACTAGGCAAGTTAGTTTTATTGCTATTAGTTCTTTGTTGAACCTACAACAACAAAACTACATCAAGTCTCAATAATATTTTTTATATTATGTATGGTGAATGAATGAATATGAGGGTATATTAATCAGTGAGAAAAGTCATAAAAACGATAATTATAATAAAAAATACGTTTATATCTATATACTTACCCGATATGTATCAAATATACTAGGTATTCGTAGAAAATAACATGACTTCTGGCTAAAATGACGTTTGTGCTAAGTGAAACCTACATATAACTTGTGCTTTCGAAATTAAGACTTTAAAAAACTATGATCAGTTATAAAATCTTATATTCATAATTAAATTACCATAATAAATATTCAGCAATCAACAAGAAACCACTGTTCTTAACGATCAGCAAGGTTATAACTTTAAATTTCAAAATCACAAAGACACGTACAGCTAGTCAAAGTCAAAATAATCTTTATTCAAATAAACTTCTTAAAAGTACTTTTGAATCGTCCAACATTTTTTCCCTACCGCTTTTTCAGAATCTCTTTTGGCTGAAAAGAAGAACGAGCAAGAAACTCACCAGCTCTAATTGGAGTAATGACATTTACAAAAACCATGTCATTACCAGATCAATACATTATAAATATAGAGAGAGAAAGAAAAAAAGTATAGTCTTATAATGATAACATAATCATTTAATTTTTGATATATAATGAGTTAAGAAGTAATCGCCTATCCAGTTGCTGGATCATTTCAAGTCCAAGCATTCTTATCTGTTATATAATCGGATACCATATAATAAGCTTTTTTAATAAGTATTTTTTAATAGTAGATTTAAACTGCATGATATCTAATTGTTGTATTTTGCTTGGGACCTTATTGTAGAAGCGCACACAAAGACCCTTGTATGAGTTATTAACTTTTTGCACTCTAGTGACAGGCATCGTCAATTTTTTTTTATTTCTTGTATTAAAATTGTGTACATCACTTTTTATAGAAAACAAACTAATATTTTTACGAACGTACATTAAGTTCTCGTATATTTATTGAGAAGCAACAGTCATTAAATCTATTTCCTTAAATTTCTCCCTTAAAGAGTCCCTAATCCTAAGATTATAAATTGATTTGACTACGCCTCCGCTTACCATCAGGTGGAGCGCAGTCATTTGCCCTCCTATACATAAAAAAAAAAAAAAAAGATCTAATTGCTCTTTTCTGAAGTACAAAAATCGTTTGTATGTCGGCAGCATTTCCCCACAATAGGATTCCGTACGACATCACACTATGAAAGTAACTGAAGTAAACTAAGTTATTATTATACTATTGCTACTGATCTTGCATGTAGACGGCGGACATCGAGCCACGTGTTAAGTTAATTCGTACGGTGGATATGTGATTTTTCGTTCTTACAAGAATATTGTTAATAATAGATTGACTTCCTACGCAACCTACTCTAGAAATCAGTTTTATTAAAATATATAATTTACTAAGTACTTAGAGTAGTCATGCTTCTGCTCTGCGGTGGTGTCGTGTGCGTTAGGTCATTACATTTCCTCAAATATAGTATAGTATAGTTGAATTAAAAAAGCAGCCCTTGCTGAGTTTCTTGCCGATTCTTGTCAGTATAAAATATCTCGCCTTAGTTTTGCGAACCATTGGCAAAGTTTTCGACTTTCACAAGTACTATGTAACAGCCTAGACTGCATTGATTTTGATATTTATGTTAATATCATTCGTTTTTGGATGCATAATGACACATACAAATACTAGCTAAATTCTGCGCTCCGCTTTTTGTTCTTCATTCCCAACCAGAATTCGGATGAAAGTTACGAGCAACCGATGAAAGTTTAAGTTGGCTCATCACTAATGTTGACGTATAAACCATGAAGCTAACATGGTATAAACCAAACATCGTTCCTTTACACGTAACACAAATACGAAAAAGTACAAATAGAATATGAGTTGTTTATTGAATTTTGAAAGCTAATTTGAACATGAAAGAAAACCGGAAAGGTTCTCATGCAGAAATCAAGAACGTACCATAGCGTTATCTAGTTTAACTAGTTTATCTAATTTTTATTTTTTAATTATAAGACTTCCTGTATTAAACAAAAGCACTAAAAACTTACCACCACTAGATGGCGACCCCAGCAAAAGTTGATTTTTGCAAGAAACGAATGGACCAAAGATAGTCATTTCCGTTCCTTTTAACAAATATAAAAATACTTAAATTTGCAAAGTTAGAAACTTAGATATCAATGCAAATACGAAAAATTACAAACAGAATATGAGTTGTTTATTGAATTTTGAAAACTAATTTACTTTTTATATGAAAAAAAAAACGGGAAGGGCTGTCATGGAAAAATCAAGAAAGTACCGTAGTGACAACTAGTTTGGTTTCAGAAACTAATGCTTTTTTTTAATACTTCCTCATTAGAAAGAATATAATTTTATCCAATATTACATCATAGTTACATATTTGGATACAAGAAAGAAGGGAATCATTCATTTCCAAAAACTATATGTTCGGAAAAGTTTATTTGTTTACTACATGTGCTAGTGCTGTCATCTACGACGAGCATTGCTTAATACGACTGATAAGACTAAGATTACTAGATTACTACTTAATTTTGTGATTTGCTATAATCATCACGTTTACCATACGTCTCTTACAATAAATTTATACCGACTGCAAATAAGAGTTGATACCTAAACATTATTACTCTCATATATTCGCTGGGTGTGAAACACAAAATGGGGTCAACGCAACCTGGCCAAATGTAAAAAAATTGCGAGCTTTATCATCTGTTATACCCATAATACATATTACTGGTAGTAGATACGCCACTTAAGAATTATTTCCATTTTATGAGGACGTCATAGCCAAGAGATGGCGTTAGTTTCTATTCAAAGCGCTCTTTGTTTATCAGGGATTAAGTAATTCGAAAAAACAAAATAGTTCTTCGGAGAAGAAAACTTTTCGATGTTTGGCTAAAATATACTTAAAAATGTTTTACAGCATATTTTTCCACATTTGATATTTTTTATAAAATAAAGAATAAAATTTTCTTTATACTATAGTCCAAGCAAACTAGTAGTTTAATGATACACGCAAACCAGCAAGACGAGTGTGTAAAAAATCAAACTCGAATTCGAATTCAATTATGTGTCCGAATTCATGTCATTTAGTGAAGAAATTATATTGATATCATGGATGCCGCTTTTTAAAGTAAATTCGAACATCTGAGTTGAGGCTTTGTATTTTACAGAATTGCA